GTGAGTATTTAACGGGAAAAAAGAAAAAAGAAAAGAAAAAAAACTAAATAAGGTTGTCAATTGTCAAAAATAAAAAAAAAAAGTTTGTCTCACAATCTTAAAAGCCATTTTTAGTAGATGCTTAATTGGGGCACCACAATTACTTGGAACTATTTTCTTTAAATTTTCTCCATTTGTTTCTATTTTTTCTATTTAATTTTGATTCAACATTTTTTTTTTTTTTTTTTTTTTTTTTTTTTTNTTTTTTTTTTATATCTTGTTTCATCTTATTCTGCTTTAAAACAACGCATTCTTTCCTTCCCACACGCATATTTTTGTTTGGTTTATGTACGCAAACCCAAAAAAAGTAGGCACTCATTCATTCATTGTCCAAAAAGACCATTTTGTGGTGGGCCCAATGTAGTATATAATTATAAAATTTATCATAAATTACCACTAACCTATGTTAAATTCTCATTATATTTGAACATCATATATGGTATGCTAATTTTTTTTATAACATATGAATATATTTATTTTTATTTTATTTATTTTTGTACTTTATTTTACCTCAAGGCTCAACAACTAATATATGCATAAAAAAAATAATAATAATAATAATACAAGTTTCTCAGCATGGATATATGAGATTAGATTTTCTTCCATTTGCATGGTGGTCTAACTTCCTTTTCTATCTTCAACAACTTTATATCTCCCCTTTTCATCTTCTATCAATTTTTGTGACTCCCAATTAATGTGTGTCATAATCACCTCAATCTCTCATCACACAAAAAAAGCACAGAGTGATATCCCATTTTAAGTGGTTGTCTTTCTTCAAATTTATTTCTTTCCCTTGGGACATTTAAATGAATGATATAGTGTACAATATATGACATCATTATGTATATGTACTATTTGATAAAACACAAAAAAGTAACATGAAAGCAAGAGTTCCACAAAACCTAAAGAATCCACGATAAATTCGATCCTAAATATGATTAAACTGCCCCACATGCCTTTTCACCCTTGATCTCACACACACCCATGTGGGTTTGTGTGCAAATGAAGAGTGAAAAAGCATGTGGGGGCAGTGTCCCCACATGTAGCATCGAATCTTCCAGAATCCACATGATGATCATCACAACTTTGACCTCTATTTGCAAGCATTTGCCCTATACGTATTGAGCTGAACCTTTTTCATCCTTAATGAGCACATAGGATATAACATGTATTTGGCAATATATCACAATCAATGGTCAAATTCTGGTCATATATTACAATTTGAAGCTCAACTACTTTTGCCATAGAAGTTTACAGCACACAACTTACACATTACCCTAATTGAATTCCTCTAATCCATATGTATATTACATTCCATTTTATAAATATCACATACACAAGTATAATCACCGAGCATAACTTTTATGTACTCACGGTCGGACAACAAGAAAATAAACATTTTGGTAAATATATCATCCATTTACTTGATCGTATTCGTCAGTCAGCACAAAAAATCTTTAAATGTTAGTTCCAACCAGCTTTTGTACTTCAATAAAATCTAACACGTAAAATCTGCGCTAACTTTGTGCAATATCTTTATCTCTACCAAATGCACAAAATATGTAAGTTTGAAATTCTTTGCCTAAAGACTTCCCGCCAGATTTAATCCAGTAAAACACATGGGCAGGAAAAAAAAAAAAAAGCTCGTTCAGCTATGCATTTGATCAAACTCCATAGAGTGGTAAAAATGTTTTCACGAAAGAGTGAGCCAGTGCTCCTGTAAATATATAGCTGTCCACCCTGTCTAGTATCCCGCCTGCTTACGCAAAAAAAGTGTATTAAAAACGAACTTGGATTAGATAACTTATTTTTCAAGTTTTACCTGGCCAAGTGTAACTTTTCTAGTTATACGTAATCGGTGGACAAAACTTACAGCTTGGTTAATCTTGACCGAGTAAGGATCATGAGTTACCATTTAACATGAGATAAAAAAAATATACATGGAGTCTTTACCATGCCCAGGAATGAGTGACCCTGAATCCTTGACGCCAGCATCTCGCTTGATCATGGACTCGGTGAGGTCGCCAAAAAGTGACCCGAAGAAGTTCAAAATCCCATACGCTATAGCACTGAATAATTTCCGCACGCAAAATTTCATATGCAAATAAACTTGCATTATATAGTAGTATATAGGATTGAATGGGAGTAGTAAAAGGATGGTTTAAGGTATATATGATAATATTTAAATGTGAATTTAATTAATAGTAAGTATTATGAAGATTTTATTTTTTTATATTGATTACAGTAATAAAAGTATATGTCAAATTTAGAAATCCGATTTAAAAAAGAATATTACAGATATACACCATGGACTATATAGATTACTAACTATTATCATATCAAAATAGTGAATCATTTGATTTTGTGAAATAAATTTTGACTTGTATATTAATTACAATTATAAACGTATCAGTCAAATTAAAAAAAAAAATATGAGGAACGACAAACAAGATAAGTGTAATATATGGACCACAAAGATTAATCATGTTTACCGAACTATCAATTAATTTAGTAACATAATAATAACAATTAATTTGATATATCAGACATAAAAAGGGATTATAAACACTACTTATCAATATTTAAAACTAACTCTAACACTTCCTCATTTAGTAACAACAAATTGGCAGAAAAACTTTGGAAGTCAATTTATACTCCTTTCCACATGCACACACACACAGTGTACGCACACACATATATATAAATATTCATATTTTGGCCAACATAAAAATAAATAAATATATGTAAATATATATATATTATATATTAAGATCCATACTTAACATAAATAGAAAGAGGGGACTAAAAGCACCTGTGGATGGATGTAGGCCAGCTCATTATTTTGGCCAATAAGACAGAAACAGCAATACATCCACCTAACCCAGCAAGAGCTCCTTCCCATGTTTTTTTCGGGCTTACTATAGTAAGAGGTGTCCTGCCAAAAGCCTGTATGATATTCTTTCATTTAAGTTCAGTCTTTTCATGTGCTAGTTACCTCATACTCGTTTAATAGTAATAGGCAAAAGTGGGTAAACAAGAGAAAAAAAAAAAAA